TTTAAAAGCCAACATAATATTCTACTTAGTTGATAGGCTGTTGTTTGTTTCCATATTGTTGGAGCTTTATACACTATATGAGTTCCACTTTTTATAAATTGCTCTGTACCCATATCTCTGATCACCTTGATGATTTCCCTAGGATAGATTTCTAGAAGTGGGATTATTGGATGACAAAAATGTTTTTAAGACTTTTGATACAGATTACCAAATTGTGAACTGAAAGATTTTTAACTGGGATGACTCTAGAAATAAAGTTCTAAAAATGGTTTTCTCCCATGGGATGTTCACAGGGTAGAGATCCTGTTAAGAAATGGGGATTATCTTTTACTTTAAGAAATTGGTTTCCCATGACCTTGCATGCCATGAGGTAGATCTGAAACCAGGTGACTCATACAACTGACAGCTGAGGGGAAGCGGTCTCCTCCACACTGAGTTGTACAGATTATCCTGATATGAAAACTGGCTCACACGTGAATGTCAATCATCATGCCCTCCAGGAGGGTCTTTGTGAAGCTGCTACAGCAGAGGACACGTATGTCTCTTTTAAGTGCATCCTTGGCAGAGCTGTCTGTGTGGACGGTCAGTGTGTGCGGTGCCCTCAGATGAGCGCTTCAGCCTGGCCCCCACGCGGCCAGCAGTCGGCCATGCCCTGGGGGCTGGAGGGTCCTAGTCAGGCGAGCACTGAGGCTGAGTCTGGGCAGCTGAGGCCACCCTGCCCCCATTTTTCTCTGGTTATGGCGCTTGGTGTTTGGGTTACCGTGCATGTGCTTGGCTGGAGGATTGTAACATATTTGTGGTGGCCCAGAATAGTGACTGTGTGATAAAAAAATGGTTCCCAGCGTAGTTGGAAGAATATGGGAGGGCCAGAAAACCCAAGCTCTCATTCCTGCTGTGCTGCAAACAAGCTGTGTGAGCGTGAGCAGCCTCTCTGAGCTTTGGTTTCTTGACCCTTTATATCGATGCCAGCTCCCATGCTCACACTGGTCTCTGGGTCTCACCCTGCATACTGTCACACCCTGTTGCAGGACCGGAAGGAATGAGCACAGTGTGCGAGGCATAAGTAAACTAAAGGTGATCCATTAGCAAATTGGCTGTGGGACCCTCCCACGTTGGCAGAGCTGGGTCAGTGGCTTCTTTCCTCGCTGTGTGTGGTCTGTTGAGTAGGAGTAAGGGGTCTGCCTTTTGTCCTGTTTGGATTCAGCAATTTTTGCTTGAATTATAGGCACTGGGCCTTCTCCTTGATAACAGTGTGTTTTTTTTTTTTAAATAACAAAATCAAGTGAACTAAAAAAAAGCAGTGAAACCCAGTCTTTACCTCTAAACTCAGTACGTGTGCATGCTCTCTGGCTTCACAGTAGATTTCTCTGTGAGAGTCTCTCATTTCCTCCCTCCAAATGGATTGGTGGGAAGGGTGACTTTGTGCATTGGGTATGGGAAATAGAGGGCTGCTGGGTTAGAACTGAGAAGAAATAGGGTCTTATCTTGCCATGTTCTCAGTGGTGTGGATTCTTATTTTCCTAATAAGTCCCTCCCGCAAATTCTTAAATCTGGATCATTAATAAGAACCAAAGTTTAAGATATATTTGAACAAGGGAGAGGTAAGAGAAGGAACTCTTTTTAGAAAAACAGCTTTCACTGCTTTTGTAAATAAAAACTGATAGACCTGATTTGAGTTCTTTCCAGAAAATTTATTCACAAGTTAATTTATTTTAGGTTCCTATTATAAGTCTGTTTTTGGGAAAAGAAAAATAAAGGCACTCAACTATTTTCTGTTCTCTAGTAGGAAACTCTCAAACTTGGGGTGATGTGGAGGTGCAGGTCAGTCTGTTAGTATGTGTTTATGGAGGGTTTACTGTTCTTACAGTCGGCACTGTGCTGGGTGGTGCCGGGAGGCACAGAGGTACAGGACTGTGGTCTTCAGCAAGAAGCTTCCAGTTTGTTCATAAGAAGAGAAATCCATGTTAAAAACTCCAACTAGATCAGCATGAAGAGATTCCCACTGATCTAAGTTGGGGCAGTTTGAGCATCAGAAAATAATGATTGCAGTGGATCAGAACACTTTAAATGCCAACACATTAGATGAAGAAGAAGAGGAAAAGGAGCCAAAAGACATATCAATCACTACTGAGGTTGCTGGAATTGACACATTATTTTGAAGATTTATAAGGGAAAGAATACTTTAAAGAATGTAAGCTGCACCAGGTGGTCAATTGAGAAGCCCAGAGGAGGGATGATGAAAGTTTGTTCATTACTTATTGGTGTTGGAATGTGAAGCCTTGATGGCGGTTCCCTCTGTGCTGGGTGGTTGACTACCAGGAAAGAACAGTCAGCTCACTCTGTCCCACAGGCGCCCGTGGGCTGTGGGGGAGCCTGTTTAGTGAACAGAGGGTGTATTTGACCCTGTCCCTCCTCTTACCAGCTGTGTAGATCATGTAACTTGGGCAAATCATGTACCTCTGAGCTCAGCTTTATTCATAACATCATAGGAATGGTAATAACACCTCGTAGTGTCAGGTTAAATGGAACAAAAGGCCCTGGTAGTGTTTACTAAGAGCGAATTCCTCCCATCTCCTTTGGGTGTCAGTGCAGCAGGAAGGGTCCAGACACCATTTAAATGGCACCATGTGGCTCTCAGGTGACTTTGGTTTCTACATTCCAATTGCTGTCACCCAATGAAGTGTCTGCTTGTGGCTGTCCTCTGCCTGCGGCTGTCGCTTCCTTCTAAAACCAGGCTGGAATTACTCAGTTCTCCACCACAAATTTTGAAATAGTCACAAAGTAGCCTGTGGTTTGAAAGGAACTGCCTTTCACTGTTAACCACTTGTGCTAGAATTATAACTAGAAGCAAAATAGAAGGCATAACTGATCCATCTCTGAAATGGAATTTTAAAAATCTAAAATTTAGGGACTTGGTTTTGGCAAGGTAAGCTATTTTTAGCAATGAAATGAACATCTGTGTAACAGAGTACACGAATGGACTTTGAGATCAGAAAGTTGAGTTTGAATCCCAGGTCTGAACTGCCACTTTCTGGCCCTGTTTCCTAGGATAAGTTACTTGATCTCATTATGAGAAATAACAAACATCTTACAAAGTTGTGAAGTATAGAAAAAACGATTATTCATTTGTGCTCAGTATGAATAACCTCTGTCCCTGCTGCTGCTAACCACTGACAATTGCCGATGCGTGTGTGCTGAGTGTGATGGAACCACATGTCCCTACCTGATTCCCCATCTAGCAAGTACCTCGTGGCAGGCCTTTAACATTCAGTGTTAAAGAGACAGTAGCCCCGGTGAGTCAGTGGCTTGTCACGGTCTTACATATTTACTGGGAGGAAGAGGACTACAACCCAGATCTTCCAAGGGCTCTGACCACTCTGCCTACCACACCTTCTTCAGTCTCTGTGTGTATATGTGTTTGTGTCTCATTCATTTGCTGAGCACATTCCCAGAAATACGTTTATCTAGAACTCTCAGTTCCTTTACTAGAATGTAAAAAGAAAAAGGGCTTGAACAGTGGAATTACTTTTCTCTTGTGTTGAGATTCACTTAGGAAACCCCTTATGCATCCAGATGGGCTTTGGGATCAGGAAGTTGGGTTTGAACCTCAGTCAGCTTTCTGCCAGGGGCAGAGCACCTCCCTGGTAGGATGTGTGGGCACACCGTTCATTGATCGTGAGGATCTGGTGCAGGGCCAGAGGTTGCCCGCCACAAACAAATGTTCCCCTCCTTTGCCCCAGTTGTCAGCATTGGCTGACAGTCATTTTATTACCCTGAGGAAGAATTTGGTGGAGTTAGGCTGATGTCTGCCTCCCCTGTTGTGCCTATAATGGTTGTTAGATTTCTAATTGAAATAATGAAAAAGTAGAAATCAGGTGGTTCCATGCAAACAGAGGTTGTTTTATGTTTATTATAGACTAGCTAGATTGATTTAAGAAGTCTGACCTAGAAGTGAGGGAATTATATTCACATTAATTTGCCAGAATTACTTGTGGCTCCTACCCCATCCCCATTTCTGAATCTGCCACCCCCATTTCTGAGGTCTGATATGGGAACTCTGACTTCTATGGTCTGATAAAAATTCATACCTGATTTTAATGTCCCATCAGGGGTTGAGAACAACTGAGCTGGAGACCCAGAATCCAGGTTTTCAGTCTTTAATGTGCTGCTCTGAGGCCTCATGATAGTAAAATGCCATCAGATAGATTACCAGGGCTTGCTCTTTTGTTCAAACTATATGTGTGTTGTTCTATATCTCAGGCACAAAGATGAATAAGACTTAGTCCCTATCCCATAAACACTTCTACCATATTGGAGAACACATTTACCAGACAATTTCAATGTAACATGCCAAGTGCAAGGACAGGAAGGTAGCAAAGCCAGATGCCTGGCACATAGGGCAGAGTCATGGCAGGCTTCCCAGAGGAAGGATGAGTCTGTGGGGTACACACGAGTCAGGGAGGGCTGGGCCCCTGGGCAGAGAATGCGTCATGAGTAGAGTAGGAAGGCACTCAACTTAACTGTTGCTGCCCTAGCTGTGCTCCAAGGACCACAACTTTTCCTGTGTTAAAAGGAGAAGCTATGGTGTGTGGCTCTGGATTAGAATCATGTGCTTCACAGTAGAGACAACAGGCATTACTTGATGGTTCTGTAGGCGAGGTCTGAGTCTGTTGACTTGCATGGTGGCTCCTCCATCATGTAAGCCAAGGGTGGGTCCTAGGAGGTGGGGAAAGCATTGGGGTTCCCTTGCAGTCTCATCTGATGGGCTGGAGACTATAGCAGTTCTGTGAGCCTCTCTCCCTCCTGGTCCTCAAGCTTGTTCTTTGTGATCAGCACAACAGGTGTTACTGGGACAGCAAAGTTGTTTCTGGACTTGGTGGAGCTTGCCTTTTCTCAGCTCTGCTAATCGTGTTCGATTTTATTTACAACTAGGAAGAACCTGGTGGGGACAGGGGATGACGAGGTTGATACATTAACTGTGTCTCACATTGCAATTGTAGCTCATGTGGAAAATGAAGAGCAGTACACACAAGCTCTGGAGAAGTTTGGTGGCAACTGTGTGTGCAGAGATGACCCGGATTTAGGAAGTGCGTTCCTGAAGTTCTCAGTGTTTACAAAGGAGTTGACAGCACTTTTTAAAAACCTGGTGAGTGTCATGCATATGCAGTTAATGGGTAACATATAAAATGCTGTGATTACTTTGGTTGGAAAGGTAGCTGAATAGAGGATAATAAATGTTTGTTTGATAAGCTTGGCATACATTTCATAGCTCATGAGATAACTGAAGAAATTATATTTCTTATACACATCAGGTCACTTTGGAATAAATTTTAGAACTGTAATTTTACTCTAATAAGACTTTCTAAATTAAATTCCATGCTGTGTTTTATTTTTACAATTTTATTTATTTATTTATTAAGGTGTTATTGATATAACACTCTTATGAAGGTTTCACATGAAAAAACAATGGTTACTACATTCACCCATATTATCGTGTCCCCCCTCATACCCCATTGCAGTCACTGCCCATCAGTATAATAAGATAGATGCCACAGAGTCACTATTTGCCTTCTCTGTGCTACACTGTCTTCCCCTTGATCCCCCCTGACACCATGTAAGCCAATCATAATACCCCTCAATCCCCTTCTCCCTCCCTCTCCCACCCGCTGTCCCTCACCACTCCCCTTTGGTAACTGCTAGTCCCTTCTTTGAGTCTGTGAGTCTGCTGCTGTTTTGTTCCTTCAGTTTTGCTTCGTTGTTGTACTCCACAAATGAGAGAAATCATTTGGTACTTGTCTTTTTCTGCCTGGCTTATTTCACTGAGCATAATACCCTCCAGCTCCATCCATGTTGTTGCAAATGGTAGGATTTGTTTCTTTCTTATGGCTGAATAGTATTCCATTCAGTATATGTACCACATCTTCCAATGCAGTGTTTTAAATGTGCACAGCTGTGGGACAAAATGGATAAATGCATTCACCTTAAGGGCCTCTGACTTCAACTTTTAATAGTTTCTAAACTGTGTAGAATAGTCTGTTTCTGGTAATTATAGTATGCATTTAAACTTACACTACTTAATAAATGTTTCGGGCCTGTCTTACACAGCAGCAAGTAACCTATAATCAAAGCACAGAAAATGAATACTTAAAGGCCTTCTATGCTCCCAAATACAGAGCCTAAAAAAAGTCTAGCTTTTTAAGAGTGGAGTTGGTTCTTCTTGCCTGTGGTAGGTGCTGGGTGATGTGAAGTGAATGGAGCTCTTTCTTGCACTCAGCAGTTCTATGTCACCCTCGTGGAAACAGACTGAAGTAGTGGGCGGCCTGAGGGGGTGCGTGCAGCCCTGCCAGGTGGCTCTTCCACAGACGAGAGCACACTGGGATGGTCCCAGCTTCTCGTTCCTGTTTTTCTCCCCCTAGCTTCTCCTAAGAGTCATGGATGACCCACCAAGAATCCATTGATGCTTTCTACGCAGGTCACAAACTACGGTGTCTTTCTCATTTCTCCTGTCAGCAAGCTCATAACGCATGATAAAATAGCTCATTATTCTTGAAATGGTGATGATGGCGGGTTTGTAAGTCTGGCCTTGGAAGGGCAGAAACAAGGGACATGATGTGTGAGTAACAGGGAGGGGAAGGCCCAGATCACTGAGGCTCTTGGTCTCTCTCCCATCTTTGCTTATAAAATATTTCATTTGGAAATGGTAAAAATAAAAAGCCATTGCTACATTTTAAGTTTTTTACTTGGGTTAATTTGGAATCTCTTGGGATTTTATCGAGTTGGTTACCTGCTTATTAAGTACTTTTCTTAGTGCCCCGGATGAGCTGGCAGCAAACACACTGAACAGTGCAGCCAGGCGCTATGAGCCCCATTCCCAACACCCACACTCATGCTTTCTAGGGTCTCACCACTGAGTCAGATAAGAACCCTTTTTTTTTAACTGGAGAAATGAATGGTCCCAGGGAAGAGTTGTGTAGATGCTGGCATGAGGTGGTCTTCTAGTGAAAGGCAGCTCACCCTGATCCCCAGGTCCTGGCTGCAGAAGCCCTTCTGTGCACGCAGAGCTGCAGCCCACTCTTCAGGAAGAGTGAATGGCTTCCAGAAGGAGAGGCCAAAACAAACAGAAAAGAACTCGGAGGAAACAGAAGCAATGCAAAGAGCAGAAGAAAACTTTAAAGAAACTGTATTTCAATTCCAAAGTCAGTAGACACTATCTGGAAAGGAAGAGTGGGTGTAGTTTGTCATTAAAGAAAGGCAGGGAGATGATTAATGTAAGAAAATAGAATATTAGAAGTGCAGTGAGAAGGTTAGAGTAGAAGGAATCTCTCAGAAAATAGCTTAAGAGACAAAAGTGGGAAATTAATAAAAAACAAGACCAGGATTAATCCTCAAGGTCCAATATCCAACTGACAGACATTTCAGAAAGAATAGGAAGGCTGAGAGGAGGACGTCAGGAATGCAATAGTACAGCGACGGTAGGAGAGGATAGGCGTCTCCAGATTGAAGGGTTGTTGAGCACCCGGTACAGTAAGGGAAAGGGCCCCCGAAAGGCCTCGCCATGTGAAATTGCAGAAGATCTTAAATGCTTCCAGGAAGCATGCAGAGAGTTAAGAATCACAATGGCCTTGATGTCTCAACAGTAGCACTGAAACCTTTAAGGCACAGAGTAATGCCATTAACCCCTGAGGAACATAATTCCAACCTGGAATTATATGCAGCCCGCTGAGCATCAGAGTACAATTTGAGATATTTTCAGACATGAGAGGCTAAAAATGTTTAGCTCCCATGCATCATTTCTCTAAAACTCCTAAAGGATGTCCTTTAGCAAAATGAAGAGGGAAGCCAAGAAAGGGGAAGCTGTGTGAGTCAGGAAACAGGATCCAAGTGGAAGGAAAGCAGTGAAAGGGAGACCGGAAGGATGTCTGAGGGAAGCCCCAGCAGTGACCGCGCAGAAGGTGGAGGGAATAGCCGGTCCAGAACACCAGCAGTGCGAGAAACCGAGGCAGGGGGACTCCCACGCCATGAGCTCTTTTGTGTTCATTCAGCTGATCCCTAGACCTGGGTTTTCTCAGCTACAAAATGGAGATAATAACACCATACCTGGTTTTGTATGTAGAATATAGCCAGTTGCTTTACACAACTTAATTCTTATATATATATATGTATGTATCGATCCCATAACATGAGTCAGTTATCCCAACCTGATTGATTAGAGTTAAGGCTCCACATGATTTAAATCCCATTCTTGGGACAGCTCCAAGTTCTTGACAGTTTTTAGTGTGTGCCTCCAGGTGGAGAACGGCCCACCTCCGCACTCCACATGGCAGAACCCTGAACAAACTAGCTTGTACTCAGTTATCAACATGAGTTGCTGCATGGTTAAACAAAAGCAGCCCCTTCTTTTCTTGATTTTCTACAAAACAGAAAACAGGGCAGGGCCTGTGACTGGTTCCTTGCCCACCACCCCACAGCTCTGCCACTTTGAGCACTTCAGACACTCCTGCAAGGCCTCGTTGCTCCCATCTTTCTGCAGCGAGTATTTGTCAGCAGCCATCTTTAATGAGCACCGTGGTACAGTCTGCACTGGGCTGGGCATTAGGGATATACTAGGTTGTACTAGTTCACGTCACCCTCCTAACGGCTGTGCAGGATGCTTGTATAATCTTCATCTAATCTGGCACACACACAGTAACTGACCAGGGCCTAGGCTGGCAGGGGACAGTTGGGATTCAAGTCCAGGTCTTCACACTCCAAACCTGTGCTGTTTCCACTGTCGCATTAAAGGAGTTGAAGCTTCTTGTAAACTCCTCGGGGAAGGAGACTGAATGGGAGGGAGGGCAGTGGCCACAAGGAGTCTTCTGGCCCCAGTCTCCTCCCCTGAAAACTGGGTGTGCCTCCAAGGCCAGCAACAAGGTGAAAGGAGTAAGTGGGAAGGGTTTTTTATAAATTAAAACTTAGCACATGGGCCACACTTTATTGTTGTGATGATGCGTTCACTTACTGAAGTCCAGGCAGTAACAGCTTTAAGTCTGTGGGCATTCCTTTAATTTTGGCTTTTGTTTTATGGATTTAGGATTGTTGATCATGTTCCCTGACAAAAGTCAGAGGGATACATGTGCCCAAATTCACATTCACCAGGCCTGGTTTTCCAAGCAAGTGCCAGTGGAGCTGCCTGTCATTGGAGCGCCAAGTGGCCGCTTCTCAGAAGCTGTTGCTGAGTGAGCTGATTATAGGGGAATTCTCCTTTTTTGGTATTTTGTATACCATTCTCATTCCTATTTTTGGTCACATGTGTCCTGTCTCTTCTTTTTAAAGCCTTGCTTTTGCTTTCCGTCAGACATTTGAAACACATGCCTGTTCTATGTGACTATGAGTCTCTCTTCTACCCCTTGTCCAGAAGGGAGACTAATTACTATCTACCTGCTTTGCAGCATGAAAGAATGTTTATAAAGCAGTTGGAACATCTCCAAAGAAAAGCCAACTTAATATAAAGTGAGATTTTGTTACTAATGGGTAAGAATCTCACCTTCAGAGAGTCTGTGAATTTTCTCTGCGGTTATGCCAGGTAAAGGGAAAAACAAGGAAGTGTAGAAATGTAACCTGTGAAATTTTAAACTGGTTGTAAAGTCAGCCTCGTTTCTTAGGTTTTTTTTCTGCTAAGCAGATGGATGTGAGAATCCTGGAGAGATTTTCTCCAAGGGCTACTTCTGTGCTGAGAAGTGGCTTTTTAATGAACAGTTGCACTGAAGGACAGATTTATGAAAGGCCAGTTACACACATGTAGTCTCTGCCTGTGATTTCAGAGAGTTGATTGTGAGATACTTGCTCTCAGCCCACAGAAACTGCTCTGGGTGAAAGCAGGGGCCAGCAGATGCTAAGCCAGGAGGGAGGACCGGGAGCAGCCAGGGGCCAAGAAATTTCACTCTGCTCACATTGAAAGAGGAACCTGTGAGTTCCCTGTACAACTTGCATATAAGTCATGCATTGTTTTTTACACAAATGATCAGAGTTAGAAGACGTAGCCACAGAATAAAGAGCCGGTCAAGCTCTGTGGGGGCGCATGGTAGCTTGTGGCTTTGTCTGTCTGATGTGTGCAGTGCCTGGCAGCGAGGTATCCCCACCTGCTGCATGGGTGCTAGGACAGCAGCG